TATGTTTTGTGATGTAGCTATATAAAGACATCTTGCTTTGTATTTTTGAACACAACCCTCATTTCCCAACTTTTAAGTTGGGAATTTCCTCTCTATTTTCTCTTTTTCTTTTTATTTTGGTTTGGAGCTTTATGAATCGAATTTTCCGGCGAACTTCCGGCGACATTGTTTTGAGCAAAGTTTCAAGATTTTGATTCCGTTTCTTCTCCCGAGTGCATGTTGGAGTGGGTAACTTATTTTTAAGCCCCATTAACTCGTATATCTTTATTGCTTTGGTAAATTGATATTGTGCTTGAGATTTTGGAAGAAAAGATTGTTGCTTTGGATCATGAATGTTTGACTAAGTGAGATAGGAGTTGAATTCTTGCTCGATTCATGCTAGAGTTTGATTTGACTTTCTAGGGTTTTTAGCGAACATGGCAATGGTTAGATTTTTGCGTGCCTTTGATCATGATGACTCCGGTGAACCAAAATTTCTCTTTCCCCCTTGATTTCTCTAATCTTCTTGCGTGCTTTACTTGCTTTCGATTTCAATTTCGTAGATTAATTTAGCTTAAATCAAACCTCAATTCAAGCGATTAGCATGTTTAGGACCTTTTCGGTTGTGTGATTTTGACGACTAGGTAGTGAACGAAGCTCCGAATAGCCTTCCTTTGAGAACGACCCGAGACGGGTAGCTCGGTTACCACATGCCCAAAATTTCTACAAACAAAATGGCGCCGTTGCCGGGGAAGGCGAGTAGGACGCCAAGTTTGATATCTAGTTGTCGTTTGTTTCCGTGTTCCTCTTGCTTTTTGTTGGTTTTGCTCGTTTTTGCGTGTTCCTCTTGATTATTTGCTTATTTTTCATTTCTCTTGCTTTTGCTTTTGTGCCCGTGTAAATATTATGTGTTTTTAGTTTCACTTATTGTTATTCTCTCTCTTGCCTCGTGTGCCTTGGGTTGTTTTGTTTCTTGTGCGAGGTATTTCACTTGAGGAGCACCGATGGATCCGTATGGCTATGCTTATGCCGGTAGCTCGTCTCGTGGATGCCCCGACAACTATCATGAGGAGATGTATTCGTATGGAGGGCCGCCTTATCCGTACCCGAGCCACTTTTTACCGACATCTCATGCAGATTTTGGTTATTATTCTCCGGGTCACGACGAGACGCCTCACTATTATCCACCGCCGCCCGATTCTTATGATGCGACATCTCCACCCGAGCCGACTCGAGAATCTTCCCGAGTCAATATAGCCGAGATTATGGAGCACTTAGAGGAGTGCAATCGATCCCTTCGTGCTTCAATGGCTCCCATGCCCAAAAAAGATGATACCGAGTCCCTTGCTACACCTTCTCTACCATTGGAGCACCCATCGGTTGGCCAACCTTGCACATTGAGCTCCGAAGCTTCATTTCTAACCACGGTTGCACCTTCCGAACGTCACCAAGAGGTTTTGACGAGCACTCAAGAGGCACTCGCGAGCCTTATGTCGATCGTTGAGGAGTTTCATAGTTGGAAGTGCATTCCCATTCCATCCATTCTTCAACTCACACTCACGAAGTTCGACTCTACCGTGGTATCTTTCCTTGATTTGGACGCATCTCACATTCCGCTCGGTAGATATTGTTCTCTATCGGCGAGAATTATTCGAGAGAGCACCCGGTTAGAGGGCGAGTTTCGAGCTATGGTGGATAGGTTTGCTTTCTTGAAAGAGGTGGGCCTCACTCTCGTTTATGATGGAACACAATCCCTAGATACGAGTGAGGACATCGACGAGTTGATTGTTAAGGAAATTCCCTCTATTGACGATTCGGCCGTGCATTCTACATTAGGTAAGTCAAACTCCTCTTCCGGTGATAGTGTTTTGAGCTTTGATTCTATAGTTGAGGGTGAGTTTATGGAGTCGGATGTTGATATTGTGTACGGGATGGGAGAGAATTCATTTGAGGATTCGATTGTGCCGAACGATGTTGATAGCGCTCGAGAAGATGATATTGAGGAGGAGAATGTGGTAGTTGATGATTTTGTGGATGTTGTTGAGGAGGATTCCGAGCTATTATGTGATGTCGTGGACTCGAGGTGTGCGTTGATTGAGGAGTCGACTTGTGATGTTGAGTATGATGTGGTTCCTATGTCCTTTGGGTCGTCGTTTCGTATTATTGAGGATCGTGACCATTTGGAGGAGTTTAGTGTGCCTACGCCCGTG